TTATTTTACATATTTTTTGGTGCTAAATGTAGTCTTTTTGTTGTTGGTAAATGTAGGTTATCAATAAAAATCAAAACTTTTAAATTGCATTGTTAAAAATGTGAAAATATAGTATCGCCTACCAACTGAGCTTGTGCACACGGCACGCTTGAGCGCATCTGTCTGAGGCTGTGGATCAATGCCAAGTTTTACCACTTTATCACTATTCCCTCTAACTTGTAGCTGTTTTTTCGTCATCTTTTGAATTTAATATGAATTATGGAACCGTTTTTGTCAAAATTTGTTTCCCCAGTTTTATACAATAAATTATTGTTTAAAGTTTCAACAAGTTTCTTTTGAAGTGCGTGACACAAGTGTGTTTTGAAAACGACCGCGGACTGTCACCTGCTCAATGCATCAGTACCTTCGGACGCTATGACAGTAATAGATTATAGATTAATAATAATGTCAAAATATCATTTACAGACCGATTTAACAGACGATCACTGCTGCCCGACCCGCAGGTCCATTTGCGGGACCCGCGGGTTACGGGTCGACCCGCGCATCACTACTCAGCTCAGTCTATAAAGGCTGTACACAACAGTAAGGCTATAGACATTATATTCTATTCAGGCCGGCAGAACCAGCAGCGCATCGGCTCTACAGTGCACGCACTGCTGATTAACCATTTTATTGCAGCACAGAGTGTCTGCCAGCAACCAATTACTTGCAGAGGCTTCCTACAACTTGTTTCAAAGGTTCCGATTTAATCAGAATACAAATTAAACAGGATGACTAGCCAATGTGAAAATCAAAAGAAAGCATAGAATAATGTACTGAAGGAGACTGTTGTGCCATCACATTTTTTTGTGGTTTGAGAGCAAAGATCCGGTCGCCACTGTGCAAAACTCCGCAACACAATTAGGTCCGAAAAAACCCCGGAGTAATTCTGCACAGGTGCAAATGGTAGCTGAAATTTATTGGACATCACCTGTCACAAAATGTGTGTGAGAATTTCTTACATTGTAAGTGCTAGATTTGCGGTGATCGATGAACTAATGCGCAATACCTGCAATCTGAAATTCAGGCCCTGATAAATGATAAACTTAAAATCAAGGTCTTCATTGCTTGTTCAATTGTAAATTTAAAATGCAACTTAACAAATGAAAGGATAAGTTTAGCCCATGAAGACACACATGAAAGAAACAACAACAGTGGACTGTATCCTAATTTATCTACCAACAAGCATTTTGTGTGTATCAAAGCCTGATATGTCCTAATCTTCTGTGCCATAGCTCTCCATTGTTGTCCAAAAATGACTATAAACACATCAGTGAGTGTCACTGTTGCACTGGGTGACACACACACTATAGTTTATTTTTATCCCACACACACTGTCCTGCTGCCCCAAACACTCACTGGAGCACCAAATGTGGATTAATCCACTGTTGAAAGTAGTCCCTGACTAATTCACTGTTTCCTCCTGTTTGTGTGATGAAGACCACAGTGAGCAGCTGTTTGTGCTCTGCCAGGTGCAAAGGTTATATAATAATTATTAGCAAACATTATCAAAATGACACCATGTGATACAAGTGTATAAGGAACAATATTTTTAATGATAAGTGAACACTGCAAAGAAGCTGCCAAGCGTTTGATCCCACCTTTCAGTAGGTGATCATTGTGGATACTCAGCCTCAGTCAGCAGTCCTGAGGTCGGATCCTCGGCCTCGTCTCGCTGTGATGTGGTCTGTCAATCACTCTGGGGGCGGGATTAGAGGTGTGTGAATGAGCTGCTGATTTTCTCAGGAGAAGAAAAGAGGAGTGTTTGTCCCCGGCCGAGCAGGGAGCACAGCTGGCCTGTTCTCTATTGTTTGTCCTAATTGAACTGCACAGCACACAGCTAATCCCCCCCGCCCCCCCCCCCCCCCCCCCCCCCCCCCCCCCCCCCCCCCCCCCCCCCCCCCCCCCCCCCCCCCCACCACCACCTCCCTGCTCTCACCCTCAGCACCTTATTAGGCAATTAACTCCACCCTCTGTGGTCTCAGCGGGGGGGTCCGCAGCCTGCCAGATGTTAGGATGAGAATCTCTTTATTCTGACAGATGAATGTGTTTTTTCTTTCTCTTTCTTGTTGTCCTGCGTGGCCTCAAGCAAGACTGAGACCATTTGGCAAATGGGCTTTATTTTCTTTCTCTACTGTACTGTTGAATCTGTGCTCTCAGGTTGTTCTCTAAACCCAGAGCTGTAGCATGTTTCACCCATTACTGACAAATCAGCTTTTCTTTAAGTTAATGCAGACCAGATTTTAGGATTCTCTGTAATTGAAACAACTTTTAGGTGCTCAACATTTCCTTAAAGTTGACTGAAACCTGTCTGATGCACCAAACCACCAAATACACATTAGTCTTGTCATGGTGGCCCTAAAATAACATCACAATATTTCAGGGGTTTTTTGTGACAATGATCTTCTTATCAACGTGACAGTAAAAAAATATAATTATTACTTTAACAACATAGAAGTGCAACAAAATAAATGATCTAGTTTTACAGTTTCCTTCAAATATTCCATAAGAAATTAAAATGATCTCTAATTTCTTTACTTTGTGAACAACTACAGTAACTCGGAGTGAGATTCAGATTCTGTACACAATATTAATACCTCAACAAAATAAAATCGACCTCAAATTACACTTTTAAACAGCTCCCAAATACAAAAAATGTCCCGTTTTTTTCCCACCTGGATGAGCCTATGAAGTAATGGACACAAAACAGCACAACTACATGGAAGTCGTGCCTGTGTGACGTACAGCGTCTCCAAATCTGAAATGTGAAAACACTCAAGCTAATTGTTTTAACATTAAATGCAAAACAAATTGACTCCTGTCCTTCATCTCTCTGTGTCTCTCTGTCTCCATCTATGCAGTCCTTTGAGCAGGACGGGCGGTCGAAGGACAGCGATCGTGGACAGATCCAGAGGGCAGCAAGCGCCATCATCAACGCCCTCTCCAAACGCCACAACAGCACCGTCATGCTGGCCGTGGTGGAGGTCAAAGTGGAGACGCAGGTGGAGCCGCCGCCTGTCGGTGAGTCACATGATCTTGATTTTTGTTGAATAGGTAAATAATAAAACTGGAGAGAAAATCATGTTGTTCTGTCCTCAAGACCAGTGGTTCCCAACTGGTGGGTGGCGGTCCAAAGTGGGTCATGGGTCCATTCTGAATGGGCCACAAGTGACTTGCAAGTAGTAAAGTAAAAAAACACACTTTATTTTTAAATACAGTGAATTTCTGGCACAGCGTTTTGATTTTGATGTGCCGTTTTCTGCTGTAGAGTGAGTAACAGCTACTTGACCGAAACAGCAAACTAGCTTGACAACATGGTCAAAACGCCAAAACGTCAAGTGTGACAGTGAATATATTAAACTGCAGGACATTGAACTAACCATTAGGAGAAATCTGGACCCTGGGGCTGAACCACTTGGGAACTACTGCTCAAGAAGATAAAAAAACGTCTTTGCAGTAGTGGGCTGGGTGTTCTGGGTGTAAATGCATTTTGAGGGTAGGGTCAAGTCCTTATTATTTCTCACTCAGAAATGTCCTTCTCACAGGTTACCTGGTCCCGGTGCTGTGCGTCGTCTTCAGCGTCCTCTGGATCTTCTGCATCGTTGTTTGCGTCTGGTGGACCCGCAAGAGGAAGAAAGAGCGCGAGAGAGCGGCCCGATCCGAGGACACGACCGTCAACAACCAGCTGGAGCCGCTGCGGAGCAACGCCCTCAAGGACAACCGAGACAAAGACATTCAGTACGAATGCAAGAAACTGATGGGCCCCTCCGACAGGACGGGCGACGGGGCCGAGGGCGAGGAGGAAGGGGAGCAGGAGGGGGAGCAGGAGGAAGACGAGGAGAGGGCGCTGGGCATGGGGGAGAAGTGTCCGCCGCAGAAGTGCTCCATAGCGGGGGCGCAGGACAGGGGGGTGATGGGTAAGGGAGGGGTGATCTGCACGTCACGCAGCGGTCCGGTCAAGGCGCCGCACCGGACAGCGTACAGCCCCAAAGACAACCGGTGTAAAAACCTGAACGCCGCCAAGCTCAGCGAGGACATTAAAGACCACTATGTATGAACACATGAGCGGAGGAGGAGGGACCTTCCTGAATCAAAGAAAAACAAACTGCGATGTCTTCAGCGTCACTGACTTTTCAACTCTTAAAAGCACCAAAAGTGAAGATTACAGATGCTTTAATTTTCTATTTTTGTTTGTCACATCTTATTTAACGTCTTTGTCTGCAGCACGGAGGCTTATTTTACTAAAAAACTACAAAAAAAATACAGAAAACAAACAAAAAAAAAAGACGGAAAATAAACAACACAGCTTCTGGATTTCTGGTTTTCTCGTCACACTGTTGGAATCAAAAAGAATTTTCTTTTCACGGCTCCTGATTTTTTTTCTGTTTACAAACAGTTTTCATCAGAACTAACGCTTCCCTTCTGTTTCTCTGTCGGAGATCTAACTGGACGCCATCGGCTGGCAGCTGTTAACATTGTTTCTACTGTTCCTGTCTGCCTTAGCCCAAACCTGCGGGCCTTTTCTACACTGTCTTGATATCGTGTCTTTTTATAAAAGAAAACTCAAAAAAAAAGTTTTATATACATTTAAGTCCTTGAAAGTTGGCACAGAGAATCCACTGTATGATACCCGGCATGAGCATTTTTTTTTTTGTTTACATTCATAAACATCTTTTCCGTTTTGTGTTGAGGCTTAAAGGTTCTTACGTATATCCTTTGAAATGATTATGTCACTGCTTCCTGCGAGTCCACATGATGATTTTTCAGTATTTGCTTTGGTAGAAAAGTGCCTTCAGCCCTTATTTTTTTCTCCTTTCCTCTCCTCCTATAGAGTTTATGCAGAATTTAAAAACATATAAAGGGAAAGATGTCCTAGTAACAACTCTTCATACCACAGTAAAGGTTATTTTCTTTGCGATGTGTACATATGTAAATATGAGAAAAAAATGGCTGTGTATATTTGAATTTAGTAACTTAAGTGATGCTTTGTATGATAGTTATTCTAAAGACTGTTTTTGTGGTTGATGTTTTTTTTTTAATGATGTCATTCCGTTTATTAGTGTCTGTCGACACTAGGACAGGTTTTATACAGATGTTCGGACTGTGTCCAGGGTCCCACTGAATCATGAGCATTGGTTTAAAAAAGAAAACTGTTTGTTTTTATGTGTTATGGTTATTTGTTACAGCTGTTCAGAACACAGACACAGAGTTTGGAGAGCTGTTTGTTCGGCCTGTCAGTCATTGTGAGAGGTTGTTAGGATGTGAGAGGCGTCGACTACCAGCTCAGTAGTCAGTGTTACCTCCATAGAAACCTCCTCTCCAACAGTCCTGTTCATTTCAACTGTTTTTTGATCGTGTAAAAAACAGACTCCCCCTCATATGCAAGATTTCTTTAACAGCTATTAAAGGTTTAGGTTTCTGAGAGTTCAGACTATTTTTAAAAGCCCTTATACGCTTAAAAATCTGTATGTCTTCTGGGCCACCGTACGTGCAAAAATCACCCTTGGAAAACCATTTAATTTTTATTAAATGGCTCAAGTATGTCAGTGGGCAAATTGTGCTTTAACCACAACCCTCCAAAAAACAATCTGAGATCCTGTTTACAGCTGGTATTAAAACACGTCTTTGGCCATCTGATCACAGTGGACAGCACTAAATACAAGTGTCAACGACCACCAAGATGCATTGTGATCCGATCAATCAAACCACTTGCTGAAGTGGTCTAGGACGCATTTGACCACATATCTTTTGTGGTGTGAACACTAAGATGTCCTGATTCGTCCCCGAGAAGGACGTAACAGGAAAATCCGTCATCAGTTTAGGACGTGGTGGTTGTTTTTGGGACAGAGGTGGACGAAGTGTTGCATGACTATCCATCGTCTTGCCCCCAAGAAGGAGATGTGTTGATCTTCTTCGGCGTTATCTTTTTCCGACATCTTAGGTGATCTGATCTCAGTGGACAGCGCCAAACACAAGTGTAAAAGACTACCAAGAGGCATTGTGATCCGATCATTCAAACCACTTGACAAGGTGGTCTAGGGCACGTAAACACTAAAACGTTCTGATTCGTCCTTGACAAAAATGTAACTTGAAAATCTGTCATCAGCGCAGGACATGGTGGTTGTTTTGGTGACAGAGTTGGATGAAGTGTTGCATGACCGTCACTCAGCCTAGAACGCATTTGACCACATGTTTTGCCGCGTGAACACTAAAATGTCCTGATGCATCCTTGACAAGGATGAAACATGAAAATTCGTCGGCAATGCAGGACGTGGTGATTGTTTTGGGGATATGATGCATGACTGTCCATCGTTTTGCCCCGTGGAAGGAGATTTGTTGAATACCCCTGAGCAGCAGTGTCTTTTCCAACGCAACCGCTAACATGAATAGCAAGCATGCTAGCAAGCAGTTAGTGAGAGTGTGGACGAAATAACTGTGCATGGCGCTCTTTGACCTTCTAGCCTAAGTCATGTAGGGGATAACAAAATCTGAGCACAAGTGTAAGAGAAGCGTGATGGACACAGGTGTCAACGGTGATGTTTTTCTCGGCTGTCCACTTGTGTTCGAATCACCAAAACGTGTCTTAATACCAGGTGTAAACAGGTGTAAATGTTTTTTTTTTAGTAAGACAGGTTCTAAACGATGCTTGTGGAAGTACTTTGGCAAATTGTGTTAGTCTGTTTCCGTTTTTTCCACATTTCATGCTGGTGTTTCACGTCCTTCTGGCTGTATGTTTGTATGTAAATATTAAGAACACCCTGTTAGCGTCCTGTTGAAGAGCATCAGTGCACAGGGAGGTAACACCTGAGAGCAGCCAGCAGGCCTTTTTGGTTTCTTTTTGTGTAAGATTTTTGTTAACGGATAGAGCTACGTGTCTTTCTCCAAAAGTCTGGAGAAGTGAGACATTGCTTGTTTATTGTGGCAAGTGCCCGAACCCTCCTTATTGATCCAGAGTTCACTTTACTTTGAAATGATGCTGCAGGTTGAACATTTCTGCACTTTTTTGTTCAATAGTACGACGGAAAATGACTTAAGTCCAGAATTACTCCCTTATTTGAGTTTTAAATACTTCCAACATAAAAAAACAGTCAGCTTCTTTATAGTGAGCGATATATTGAGATGTATGGACACTCTGTCAGAAGTATCGGACACACATCTCTTAATTTTGTGATTTCACAGCGTCCATTTTGTTACATTTTTTTCATCCCTTCTAAATATTTAGAGACCACTAGATCAAAAGTTCTGAGGAGCTCTGCTGCCTAATCCATCACCTGCTCTTATAGGGACTCCAAATGGTGCAAACTACAGTAAAGTATCCCTGTGCTGCATCAGAGAGTCAGGTTTTGACCCAGCGCTGATGCATCTGATTTCTATTTTCAATACTCACTTTTACGGGTCACAGGGTCCAAACAACTTTAAAGCACTGCTGCCAGTCTCCGTCTCTTCGGCCTTCTCGTACTTCAGTTATAAATCTAGTATTTCACAGTGTGTTGACAGTGGAGATGCCATGCAGGGCAGCAGGGTGTTTAGTGAGTATGAAAACCCTTCTTGTGCTGCGCCCCCCCCCCGACATGCCCTGCTACAACACACTGAGTCCCCGTCATAGACAAAAGGTGTGTGGTTTGAGTGGGAATCGACTCACAGCGGACGAGTGTGAATCCTAAATGTTTTTCCCCATTTAGCCCCGCCTCTCCTCGTGTATCTATTCTGGTCTAATGAAGGGAACAAGTTGTATTGTTGTTGATGTTGTTGTGGTTGTTGTTCAGTGTTTGTAAAGAGTCTGTTTCTGCACTAAGAACACACAGGAGAAGAGAAACGTTTAGCATTACCTCCACAGTGGTAGTGAAATTAAAAAGAGTCAGATATCGTCACTATTTTGTGGATGAACATTATGTTTTCAAGATTTTATGTTTTTGTTAATAATGCTGATGCAAATCATGTAAAACCCAAATTCATACTCTGTCAGTAAATCTTACGTTGTGTGAGTCCCACAGGAGGGGCTGAATGTGCAGAACATTGTAATTATTTTGTACAAAATTTGGTAAAAGTCTTGGTTTGTTAGTGGATTTTTTTTTTGTTTGTTCTTAGAACAATCCTATTATTTATTAAAGTATTTTATACCAAAGTTCATTTGGTTTGTCTTTTTTTATGTGAACATATTTCAGGCAAAAGTGTCTCATGACTGGTCCTCACTAAAATGAATGTTGGAGATATCAGTTGCAGAGATGTCTGCCTTCTCTCCAATATAATGGAACTAGATGTCACTCAGCTTGTGGTGCTCAAAGTACCCCAAAAAATACATTTGAGAAACTCAACATCAATGTCTCTTTCCAGAAATCATGACCAGGTTACTCAAGATAATCCACAGACCTTGTTGTGAGCAGTTTCATGTAGGAACTATTTTCTTTCCACCAAATTACACCCATATCACTGCGCAGAAGGAAGTGTGCATCTACTCATTAACGAGAGGCTCATGCTCGTGACAGCGGGAGATGTAAACATTAATGGCACCCTCCTCAGCTTACTTGTAATGTTAGCTAGCTCAGTGGTGCTAGGTGAGCTAGCAGTAGATGCACGCTTCCTTCTGCGCATTGATACAGTTGGTATGTCTCTTTCCAGAATTCATGGCCCGGTTACTCAAGATAATCCACAGATGATGTTGTGAGCTGTTTCATGTAGGAACTATTTTCTTTGTACTGAACTACAGGACAGGTGCATCTACTGTTAGCTCACCTAGCACCGCTCAGCTGACGAGGATGCCATTAATGTTTACATTTCTTGTATTTTTTTTTTTTGTAAATCCTTTTTTGAAATTTAAAATAACAAAGAACATGAGGTTGTCGTGGGTGTTGCAAGGACAAATCGCAGTACATTTTCACTTACATCCTGGCATACAGTGTCACACTTTTCTCAACGATTTTTATACCCAATGTTTTGTACAGTTTTCTATCTCAAGCCTTAAAATAAAACTCTTTCCATACGGTATATTTAGTTTATAATCTACAGCAAGTTGTGGCTTTCCTGCTACTTGACAAAAGTATCTTTAATAAATATTTATCTTTGTGTGGGACAGTTACATCTCTAACTGTCTGGAGGATGAGCCTCTCCTCCATGAGTAGATGTGCACTTCCTTCTGTGTGGTGATACAGTCTGTGGGTGTAGTTTAGTAGAGAGAAAATAGCGCTATGTGTAAGAGGCAAAATATGTATTTTTGATTTGGGGGTGAACTGCCCCGTTGAATTCTTTCAAATGTATGTATTTTACAATAGAGAAGGATTTGGGGATGAGGACTAACTAAAGAGGTTGGCAAAGTCATTCAGGTTTAAGGTTTTAAGTGGAAGACAAACTCACCGTCTTGAAGTTTAGTTCTTGTATTTTAGGTTTCGGAAAAGCAATAAAGATGCTTGATACTATATAAGATATTTTAAATAGGCTAATATATGGCCAAACAATTGGTGTTTGGGTTACAGGTTTGGCAAATGGTCAGTTGCTTCATTAATACTTACTAAAGAAATGTTTGTCGTTGTCGAAGGCTTTTGGATTCAAAATGAGACATCCAGATTTTGTAAAAAAAAAAAAAAATCCCATGTATCCAAAATTATTTAAATATATATATCAATAATTTTGTCTGAGATGGAAATTCATCTGTTTGAAAATTAAGTCTTGTACAGTCTCCAGGTAGCCAATCAGCCACCTCTCTGCCACCCGCCTCATTTAGCGCCACACCAATGAGGTGTGTCCTTAGCGTGCCTCCATCTGCCCCTTTAACGACACTGTGGGAAATGATTAACATTAGCCCGCTCTGCATGAAAGCCTCCCAGCAGCTGTGCTGGATATCCATAATGCTTGGTGGGACGTTATGTGCCGTGCTGTGTGTTCATTAACCCGACAGTTGTTTTGGGAAGAATGGGAAACGTGTCTGGAATCCTGGATGGCGCGGCGCTCGGGTCACACGCACGTACAGCGCACGGTCGCTGACCTACTTGGAGAGGAGTACAATGAAGGAGAAGAAGGGATAATGGTGTAGTAGTAGGAGGAAGGGCCGGTGGTGGCATTAGGATCGCGTGTCATCCTACAATGCAGCGTGTAAGCTGACGCCAGATTCATACAGGAGCTGGTTATAGTGAAGGCTGCTGGTACACAGGTTCAGTTTCCATGATGGGCTTTGTGATGTCTCAGGAACACAGAGAGTGTGTGGAGCTTTGGGTCTGAGCATGACAATGACACACCTGCATTAAACTCTTCATAGAGCAGGAATATTATTGTTATATGCAATTAAATTAAATGATCTTCATCAGCAGATCAAGTCGAGATGTTTAAATTCCACCCTTAGTGTACCAAATCTCGTCCAAACTCAGAAGCTAAGCAGGGTTGGGCTGGTACAGTACCTTGACGGAAGACTGCCTGGGAAAACCTGGTACTGGGCGGTGTGGTGCTGCAGTGGTTAGCATTGTCGCCGCACAGCAAGAGGGTTCCTGGACATGCAGGTTGACTGGTGACTCGTGACTGGTGTTCAGGGTGTACCCCTCCTCTCAGCGTCTCAGTACCCCCCACTGTCAGCTGGGATAGGGTGGATGAGAGTCAAAATGTCTTTAAGAAATGCAAGCAAGTCCAGTTGCCTACGATATAGCACTTAGGAAAACAGGAAGAGGATAGCGCTTTTATTTTCCATGATAGCTATTGGTAGCTATCCCCAGTTACCAAATCAGTGTAAGTTCTCTGCAGTAGCTATCCCCAATAGTGGAAATAGCAGGTGGTGGAACAGCCGAAGTAACTGTGGAAACTGTGGTAGATGTTGGGCTCTGAGACAAACAGAACGTGATCAGGTTGTCTTTACAACAGCGACACCAGCAGTAATACCACTGTGAAACGCTGGGGGATCATGGATCTTCCTGTCCGTGTTGGGGCATCTACAGCTCTGGGTAAACTCCATCTGCCTCTAAAGATCGTGTCATATAACTGAAGTCCAGAACAATTGCTAAATGAACAACTATTGTGATGAGACTGTTTTCTCAACTTGTGTCTCCAAGGTCAAGAATGAACCTTGGAGACACAACTTTCACACCAACCAAGACAAGAAGTCACTGAAATTTAAAAAAAAAAAAAAAAAAAAAGTTAACACTTCCAATGTAAAGGATAAGTGTTAAAATCCAAAGTTTAGATCTGTTCGATGTATATCCAGTATCAAATCTGAACATTTTTACATTCATTGATGGGAAATAGAGGTTTGCGCTTACTGCTGTAATGCGCATGCGCACGCACTTGACCGTTACAGCTTCGTGTAGTTCAAATGCACAGATACGTTGCGGATCAGCGGGACTGTTGGACCAGGGGAGAAGGAGCTGACGGAATAATCACGCTACCTACAGACTTTGTAAGTACCTGTGCTGCTGTATTTCAATAAAAGAAACCAGGAATTAGCACTATTAGTTTTATTTTAGCCGCTCACGATGCGGGCTAGGCTGCCGCTGTGCCAAGCTAGCTTGGTGTTAGCATGCTAGCTTGGTGTTAGCATGCTAGCTTGGTGTTAGCATGCTGAGGTGTGGACCAACAGTAAACATAAACATGCTGCTAGACTGCTTTCCCCGCACCTGTGTGTGTGCGCGTGCGTGTAATATTGGCTTGTGTCACATGGTCTTCATTATCTCTTAAGTGGAAGCTGTAAATGTGTTAATATAACTAAGTATGACTGTTGTGTGCTGCTGCCGCTGTTGTTGTCACCCTTAAGTCAGAACCACCTGTACAGGTAAATATTACTGTAAGCATTTTGAGGTTTAAAAGGGTGATGGTGAAAAGACGTTCAGAAAAGGTTCAAAAGTGAAAGTACTTTCACTAACTATTTAAAGACATTGGTTGAACTGTTACATTTAGATCATATTTCAGTAGGATTTATAATATTGACTTTCAACTGACAAATTTGGATGTGGTTTTTTTAGTCAGGCTTCTACGGAAGTGTATTGCATTCACTGACAAATAAGAAAAAGCCTGGTTTTTCTGATTTTTTTTTTTCGTTTTTCTGAGTAATTTTTTCCCTGTTTTTCAGGGTATTTTCTTCTGTTTTTTTTTGTGGTGATTTTTTTTTCCCGAACAAGGAGACGAGATACTTCAAAATCTCGCGAGAAGCTCCCACCTGGCACCTGCAAGTGACCCCTGCATCCATGGTGACTCCTGCTCATGGATGTATTTTGCATCCGTGCTCCTGCTCCTACACAATTTCAACTACGGGATCAATAAGGGTAAGGCACGTAATTAGTTACACACAGGGTATGATAATCTAGCTATGTTTTCAACTGCATCCTTCTAATGTAGGCCTATAGCTCAATGTAACAGGTTAAGTTAGTAACAGGTTGTAACAACGTTAGCTGACAAATGTGTATGGGCATGATTTCAGTTGTCAGGTAACGTTAAGCTAACAGTTTTTTCCATCATGTTGGACATTGTTACTCATCACAAATTTGTTAGCTAATGTTGTTACAATCTGTTACTAACCTAACCTGTTACATTGAGACTAGAAGAATTGCAAATCTCAGTGAAATATGGTCTAAATGTGAACGTTCAAAGTCTACAAATAGCCTAGCTGGTGAAAAAAAGTTTACTTTTGACCCATTTCTTAACGTCTTCTCACCAGTGACCATAGTCGTTTTTAAATGTTTTTTTCAATGAAAAAATGTTTGCTGGGGTGTTTATGTGTTTTTGGTTAGATACCTGACAGAACGTCTGTGGTAACACAAGCTTAAGAGGTTTGTACGTTTGTTCTAAGAAAAATACAATACAGTAAATTCCTTACTCGTAAACTTTGAAGCTTCTATGTGTCTTGCTAACAAGTGGCTAAATGAGGCTGCAGAACGTCATCACGCCAACATGGACATCTTAACAGCCTTGTTGTGGAGGTGATGTTAAGTCATGCAACTGTAGTGTGGTTTGTTCATAACCTAATGTTAGCTTTTACTTCTGGTGATTGCATTTAAACTTTAAGAATTCTAAGAGTTGTGTTTGATTGTGAAGATTATTTTGCTGAACAAAACACTTAGGTATCATAAACTTTTGCTTGTGACAGATCTTATTTTCTGATGTAAACCAACATCCAATGGAAAATTCTCACATGCTTTTTGTCGAAGGAACCAG